ATAAACACGGGTGTGCATATATCTGCTTGGATGTCAGTTATGGTCTCTTTGGGGTATATTCCCAGTAGTAGAATTGCTGGGTAAAATGGTATCTCTATTTGTAACCATACCATCTTCCACAGTGGTTGCACCATGCTGTCTATTCTTGTCTCCACTCCACACTAGTTCTGTGCCCAACACCCTGGAATTCTGTGTCTTTTTTTCCTTTTCTGTATGTTTTCTATATATTTATATATTTCTTCTTTATTCATTGTTGTGCATTTTCATCCCTCCTTTTCCCTTCTCCCTTCTCCCTCTCTCCGGAAATGTGTTTTGAATAAATCATTTCCCCATAAATCCTTATTTGGAACACCAGCTTTGTCCTCACCTCTTTCCTGAGCCCACTTGCCATGGCCTAACCATTTGTCTGTTGCCGTCTGGCTTCCTCTCACATGCACACCTTGTGTTTTTCTGAATTGAATGGTTACTTATGTCTCCAGATTCAGTCTTCTTTTCTCCCCTCTTAGGAAGCAGCTGCAGGAGCTCAGTGGGCAGCACCAGCAGGAGTTGGCCACTCAGCTGACTCAGTTCAAGGTGGAAATGGCTGAACGAGAGGAAAGGCAGCAGCAAGTGGCTCAGGATTATGAGCTCAGGTCCTGGGCCCTGGAGTCTCCCTTTTAGGCCTTAGCTTCTTTCCCTGGGTCAAGCTGAAACAGGGCCTCATGGAAAGCTGTTCTTTTGGCAGACTCGGCCCTCCTTTAAGAATTTCAGCTCTCTGATAGTCTATCCTAACTCTTAATCCCAAAATTCCTGCTCTGCTTTTCTGCAGACTGGCCCGGGAACAGGCACGTGTGCGGGACCTGCAGAGTGGAAACCAGCAGCTGGAGGAACAGCGGGTGGAGCTGGTAGAACGACTCCAAGCAATGCTGCAGGCCCACTGGCATGAAGCCAACCAGTTGCTTAGTGGCACTGTCCCACCTCCAAATTTCCAGGTAGGCCTTGTCTCTTGACTTAAGCTGCTTAAGAGTTGCTATGTTCTAGATTCTTAACTTAGTGCGGCTCTGTCCTAAGGAGGACAATGTTGATGGTGCCTTGAGCCTTTTCTAGCTAACCTTCTGGTTATTTAAGCAAGTGCCTACTGCAGGACATTTAAGTTGTTGCCTATATTTTGCTTCTGTAAACGTGCTGCAGTAAATATTATTCATATGTGTGACTGCATAAAATTTCTGGAAATGGAATTGTGAGATTAAAAACATACATTGTATTTTTTGTGTGGTAATTTTATCTATAAGAAGCTTACTTTTTTAAGTAGTGCAGTAATATTAATGAAATTCACAATGATATACGGCTGTTTCCACTATTTCCAAAAATTCCATGACTCCAAATAGAAACTTAGTACCTATTAAGCATTAATTCTGCATTCCCTTCTCTCTCCTGCCTCTGGTATAACCACTGATTTACTTTTTTATATTTATGTAAGTTCTTGATATTTCATATTAGTAGGCTCATGTAATACTAGTAGCATATTTTCAAGTTATAACATGTATCACAACTAAATTTCTCTTTTTATATATATATTGAATTTTGTTTATCCATTCATAGGTTAATTAACACCTAGGTTGTCTCCACCTTTTCTTTTTCTTTTAAGTTTTTTTAAATTGAGATTTTAATGAAAGTTTATAGGAAACTTAGATTTGCTTTCATTCACTGTTGCACATTGGAAAAAAATTATTTCACTATTGCACAATTACCTCCCCCCCTCCCCCCCATTGCTCTGTAGCTTTTATTCTGGACTGTTGTCATGCAAAGAATACTTAATATATATTCCTTTTAAACAGTTCTGTCCCTCTTCTATTTCAATATAGTATACATTATTTATCCCCTCTTTTCTTAGTTTCCTCCTAACCCCCATATCAGTCCTGTTTTATCACATTGGCATTATGCAGTTTTTGTCCTTTTGTGACTGAGATATTTCATTCAGCATCATGTCCTCTACGATCACCCATTTTGCATACTATTTTATGAGTGCCTTGTTTTTCAGTGCTGCATAGTATTTCATTGTGAGAATATACCACAGCTTCTCTACCCATTAGTTTGTTGATGAACACTTGATTTGTTTCCATCTCTTTGCTATTGTAAACAATGCAACAATAAACATAGATGTGCATATATCTGTTTGGGTGGCAGTTACGGTTTCCTTAGGGTAAATTTCCAGTAAATTTCTGGGTCAGATGGTATTTTTATTTGCAACTTTTGGAGAAAGTGCCATACTGCCTTCCAGAATGGTTGCATGTCTCCACCTTTTGACTGTTGTTCATAATGCTACTGTGGACATTCATATAAAAATATATATTTGACAGTATTGTATTGGAAGTCTTAGCGATAGCAATAAGACAAGGAAATAAGAGGTATCCAAATTGGCAAAGAAGAAGTAAAATAATCTATGCAGATGATATGTTAGTATACTTAGAAAACCCTAAAGACTCAGCAAGAAAACTATTGGACATAGTTGACCAATTTCAGCAAAGTGGCAGGATACAAGATCAACATACAAAAATCAGTTGGATTTCTGCACAGTGACAAAGAGAATACAGAGCTGGAGCTAAGAAAAACAATACCCTTCACTCTAGCTAATCACAAGATTAATTACTTGGGAGTAAATCTAACCAGAAGCACAAAGGATCTATTCAAAGAAAATTACAAAACATTACTACAAGAAACAAAAAAGACCTGGAGAAGTGGAAGAATATCCCTTGCTCATGGATAGGAAGACTCAACATTGTGAAAATGGCAATACTACCAAAGGCAATTTACAGGTTCAATGCAATCTCAATACAAATACCAATCCCATTCTTCAATGAGATGGAAAAGGTTATCTCCAGTTTCATTTGGAATGGAAAGAAGCCCTGAATAAGCAAAGCACTCCTTAAAAATAGAAAAAAGGTAGGAGGTACCTCACTCCCCCATTTCAAATCCTACTACACTTCTTTGGTGATTAAGACAGCATGGTACTGGTGCAATGACAGGCACATAGATCAATGGAATAGAATTGAGAACCCGGAAATCAGCCCATCTTCCTATGGTCAACTGATTTTTGACAAGGAGATGAAAACAATTAAGTGGGGAAATGACAGGCTTTTTAACAAATGGTGTTGGCAAAATTGGAAAAATATCTGCAGAAGACTTAAACAAGATCCACACCTCGCGCCATAAATAAAAACCAACTCAAGGTAGATCATGGACTAGGACTAAAACCAAGGACTATAAGTTTCATTAAAGAAAAACTTGGAAAAAAAAAAAGAAAAACTTGGATGAACCCTAGTAGTCCTAATCCACAACATAAACAGTCTTCCAAGTATCCTGAAAAATCTACAACCAGGACAAGATAAAATAGATGAATGGGACCTTCTAAGAATCAGATCCATCTGTACATCCAAAAAACTTCTCCAAAAGGATAAAAAGGGAAGCCACAGACTGGGAAAATAATAAGGTAAATAAAGGTAAATAATACAATTGAAAAATGGGCACAGGAGATGAATAGACACTTCACCAAAGAAGATATTCAGATGACTGCATAGTATTCCGTTGTATGAATGTACTGTAACTTCTCAATCTATTGTTTGTTGGGGGACATATGGGCTGTTTCCATTTTCTTGCTATTCAAGATAAGACTGCTTTGAGCATAGGGTACATATCTCCATTTGTGTCTCAATTCAGATTTCCTTAGGGCACATTCCAATCAATGTAATAGTTGGATCATATGGGCTTTCTATGTTCAGCGTTTTGAGGAAATGTCAAACTGCCTTCCAAAGTATTTGTACCATTTTACAATCCATCAACAGTGCACGAGAGTACCAGTCTCTCTACATTCTCTCCAAAATTTATTGCTTGCTATACTGTTAAAGTTTGCTACTGCTACTGGAGTGAGATGGTATTTCATTGTTGTTTTGATTTCCATCACCCTTATTGCCAGTGATCTACAGCATTTATACCAGAAAAGACAGGGTTGTCATAGTCATAGAACAATGGTGATCAGTTTTATAAAACACAATGTATGTGAATGATCATTTGAAACCCATTGTGTATGTAGGAATGTGTGAAACACAATGATACACAGTGTACACAGATTTTGTGTGCAAACCAATATAAAATAAAAAGAAAATTAAGAGAAAAAAAATTAATTCATTTTCATCAACTGCTGTCTGTGAGAGAGATGTATCAGTCTGCTGTCATAAAGATTATGGCCTTGGAAACCCTGTGGGGCATTTCTACTCTGTCTTGTAGAGTCACTTTGTGTTGGAATCAACTCTATGGTAGCAGATTTAGTTCTTTTTTGAATGACTAATAATTTTGTTTTTTAAATATGAATTAGTTCAAATCCACCAGATACTCTGCTGGAGAAGGAGGGGCAATCTCCTCTTGTAC